GTTAAAGAGTTTTCAGGATTGCATTGGACTGAACGGCAACAATCCCTATAAGCTCGTGTATCATGACAAGAACATACCAAAAAAAAAAGAGTGCGACGAAATGTCGCTTAAAAGTTGTAGGTGTAGCGTAATGTTACTCTACGTTCGAGGCGAGAACGATTTGGCAAGGTTTAAGGCAAACGTCGAGTTTTATTTGAACATAATTTTGGGCAAAACTTTTTAAAGAGGGTTTGGTTCTTATTTATTAGGCCTTTTCTCTATTAATGACTTAATATGTGTAGGGCACGCACTACATTTACAAAAGAAAATTTTGGTTGATCAGGTGGTGCGTTATAACGCACATGCAATAAACCTTTTATTAATCTAAATTAAAAATAAAATGTAGCAATTAAAAAAAACTTGCAAAGTACAAAAGTTGCGTATAAAATTAAAGCTAATAAACCATGTTATGATTATAATTAGGGTTAAACAACTTAGTATTTATTAGCAAAATCTCACAAAGGATATATTCTTAATTAAAATTTTTGAATTATTCTTGTTTGTAAAAAGTGGTTTGTTTCGACTTTTAAAAATGACGCGTGTCAAACTTACCGCGTAATATAATCGCAAAAAATTTAATCTGTGTCTGCATGTATCAGCTGACCCAGATATACGATCACCAACCGTTTTTGTGTATGGCGTAACGTAAAAAAATCAAAACAAACCGAAATGGAATTTTATATTTAACAACAACTTTTCGAGCTTTAACAGAAAGTTTTCTTGCTTTAATATAGACGTAACCTATTTTTCCTATAACCTTGACCCTAACATTAAAAAGGTTTCTATATTATTTAATCGATGCCGGATCATTCTGCTGTCGGAGAATTGGCTATCAATTTGGGATCTGCTGACAATATTTCTTCTGCGGACAAACGAAAAAATTCAAAGATTGCTAGAAAAGAAGACAACGAGGAAAGTACTAATCAAAAAAAGCAGAAAGTTGAACATGTAATCAGTGGAAAATCGGATATAATTGTTAGTTTAAATCATCAATGGGTTTTACCTATCATAGAAAGGGAGAAAACCTACGAGTTTCGAAAATGGAAAGTTGATACTGAAACTAAAAGAATGTGGATATATGTCAACCGCCCTGTTTCCAAATTAATGTACATTTTTGAAATTGATCATCCAGTAAAATATCCTAATCAAATCCCCGAAGATAACGTACATAATAAGTTATTCAACCAAGGAAAAAAGGCTGCATTTGCTTACCGAATTAAACATTTGTATAAACTAGATTCGCCAGTTGATGCAAAAACGTTAAGAAGGGATTATTGTATTCATCCTCCTCAAAAATTTACTTATGTTAGTCGTTATCCACAATTAGCAAAAGACATAATTATTAGTGAACAAACTAAATTATATTAGTTATGTCGCTAAAGATAAATGCCATTAAAAGGACATTTATATGTTGAAATAAAAATGTCAATTACTTTTTAGAATAAATTGTTACAAAAGACAACGTAAAAGCGAGCGCCAAAGTTCTGTCAAAGGGAGACGGCATTTTGTATTAGCAGCAGTTTTGATAAGATAACCGATTCAACTCTTGCGGACGTTGTAACAGTCGAAATTTCCCTCCCCGGTGTGTTACCATCCGATGTAGCACAGTGTTCGATTTATCTTTTTTTTTATTTTGTTAACTATGATTTGTATGAAAATGGGAGCGATCGCCAAAATCGTTACTTATCCTTCCTTTCTATTTTATAATTCCTTTCGCAACTATAATTACTATAATCTTTTTAAATCTTT